TCTTGAGCTTTCAGTCCTTTGACTGATCTCCTTCCCCCAGTTCACCATGCCTCTCATGATTTCACTTTTCTATCAATTCTTTTCCTATCAATTCCTGAATCTATGTCACATCAACTCAATTTCTCTTGCTTTCATCCTCAACTCCTTGTTCTACTGTTGTATTTACCCTGCAAATTACCAACTATAGATCATTCCACCCATTCATTGTCTTTTGTCAAATGGTTCTGGAGAAACCACATAACATGCAATTGGTGTCATTGATAATTTAAGTTTTGCAATCTTGCCTAGGTTCTCAACATTACTTTGACATTATAAGTCACTGACCTATCCCACTCACTACAGTAGCTATTTCAATTCTCCACCACTACCCCAAGCCTTGTCCCCCAATACATGGTCTTGCTTCCAACTTCACAGAGTTGAGACCAGTAGGCACAAACTCCTTTAATTTGTGCTCATACATCTATCTTTACTGGCAGCCACTCTTGCTCCTATCCTCTAGTTTGAGTGGCTCTTCTGTCCCAAGTTTATCCTGACCTTATGCTCTAGATCCCATCTTTTGACACTTTGCTGTTCGTTATCTTTTCTCTCTATTGTATGTTTCACTTATTTTTCCATCAAATTTTTATATTGAAAAATACCAAGTCTATGGAAGTTGTAAGAATAAATAAATAAAACACTCCTAAAGCCCTTCACCTAAGGGCTTTAAGTAAATAAAACACTCCTAAAGCCCTTCACCTAAGCGCATCACTTAACATTTTGCTACGTTCTCTCCTTTCCTCTTTCACATCTATCATTTATCTATCTATCCATCTATCTATCATCTATCTATCTATCTATCTACCTATCTATCTATCTATCTATCTATCTATCTATCTATCTATCTATCATCTACTTATATTATGACCCTTCACATCTAGGCATTCAGCATATATTTCCCAAGGTGAGGGACCAAGATGATGACATAGAAGGCTTCTGAATGTCCCTCCTCCCACAGACACACAGAATGTACAGCTACATACAGAGCAAATTTCCTGAGAGAAATCTGGAAGATAGCTGAGTAACCCCTATACATTGGGTGAAATGAGAAAATACCTCAAAATGGGTAGGAAAGGCTGAGACACACTCTCATCATGAACCTCTCCCTCAGCTTAAATCCACAATTGGGAGAGAATCCTCAATTCTTAGGCTCTCCTTGAGGAGCCAAGGATTTGGACTACAAATCTACTGCCCCAACTTTTAAGGCTCCCGCACCAGGGGTGGGTCCCCCAAACACCTCGCTCTGAAAGCCAACAGGCCTTGTGTCTACAAGTCCCACAAGATAGCAATAAATCAGTTCTTAAAGGGTATGTGACTTCTTTTGATAGTTAAACTTTAATTTCTCACCATGCATTGATTGCTTTATGTACTTCTTATTATAGTAAAAAGCCCATCACATTAAATTTACCAGCTTTCTACTTTCTCTGATTTTAGCTACTTTAAGACGAGTGGAATCATACAGTATTTGTCCTTTTGTGGGCTTATTTCACTTAGCATGATGTCCTTGAAGTTTATCCACATTGTAGCATGTGATAGGACTTCCTTCTTTTTTTAAGTCTGCATAATATTCCAGTCTATGTATATCTCACATTTTCTTCATTCAGCTGTCAGTGGGTATTTGGGTTGCTTCCACCTCTTGGTTATTGTGAATAAATCTGTAATGAACATGTGTGTGCAAGTATCTTTGAGTCCCTGCTTTGAATTCTATTGGACATGTACACAGAGGTGGGATTGCTATACTATGGTAATTGTTTTTGATTTTTTGAGGAACCACCATACTGTTTTTCACAGTGGCTGTACCATTATGTGTACATTCCCACCAACAGTGCACAAGTGTTCCAATTAATAGAATGTTGGGACATCCTCACCAACACTTGTTATTTTCTGTTCTTTTGATAGTGGCCATTCTAAAGGGTGGGAGGTGATATCTCATGGTTTTGATTTGCATTTCTCTTAAGTGATGCCGAGCATCTTTTTATGTACATGTTAGCTATTTGTTTATCTTCTTCAGAGAATCATTTATTCAAGTCTTGTGCCCATTTTTTAAATTGAATTTTTTGGTTTTTTGTTGTTGAGTTGTAGAAGTTCCTTATAAATTCTGGATTTTAATCCTTTTTCAGATACATAATATCGAAATATTTTCTCCCATTCCATAGGTTGCCTTTTCACTGTTGTTTCTCTTGTTGCACAGAAGATTTTAAGTTTGATGCCCTCCCATTTGACTTTTGCCTTTGCTGACTGTGCTTCTGGTGTTATACCAAAGAAGTTGCCAAATCCAAGGTCCTGAAGTTTTCCCCGTTTTCTTCTACTTTTATGGTTTTAGGTCTTACATTTAGGTCTTTAATCCAGTTTGAGTTAATTTTTGTATATGGTATAAGGTAACAGTCTGACTTCATTCTTTTACATGTGGATATCCAGTTTTCTCAATATCGTTTGTTGAAGAGACTGTCCTTTGCCTATTGCGTAGTCTTGGCATCCTTGTTGAAAATCACTGGGCAATATATACAAGGTTTATTTCTGGGCTCTTTATTCTGTTCCATTGGTACACACACACCTTATGTCAGAACACTGTCTTGATTACTATTGCTTTGTAGTGTGTTTTGAAATCAGGAAATGTGAGGCCTCCAACTTTGTCCTTTTTCAAGATTATTTTGGCTACTCAGGATCCCTTAACTGTTCACATAAATGTTAGCATTTTTTTTCCCATTTCTGCAAAAAAATGTCATTGGGATTTTGACAGAGATTGCATTAAATCTGTAGATATCTTTGGGTAGCATGGATTTTAACAATACTAAGTCTTCCTAACTATGAGCACAGGATGTCTTCCCATTTCTTTGTATCTTCTTTGATTTTAGCAATGTTTTGTAATTTTCAGTGTACAAGTCTTTTATCTCCTTAGGTTTTACTCCTAAGCATTTTATCCTTTTTGATTTATAGTAAACTGGACTGTTTTCTTAATTTTTTTTTTTGGATTGGTCACTGTCAGTATTTTAAAATATGATTAATTTTTCCATGTTGTGGTATCCTGAAATTATGCTGAAATTGTTGAGTTGTAATAGTTTTAAAAAATGATTTGAGGTTTTTACACATAAGATCATATCATCTATAAACAGAAATAATTTTACTTCTTTCCAATTTAAATGCTATTTCTTTTTCTTGTCTAATTGTTCTAACCCAGACTTTTAAACATGTACTTTATCAGCTGATATAGGCTGTTATGCTACAGTAATAAAAGCAAACAAAGAAACAAAAAAACCAACCCAAATCTCCGTGGCTTAAAACCAACAAATGCTTATCATTCACCTTAATGTTCCCATCATTAGGCTGGGATGTTCTGTGGGATCCAGGCAAAGCAAGCATTGCTAATCACACAATGACTTTTAAAGATCCTGCCTAGAAATGACATGTTATCTTCACTCACATTGCCACTCCTAACTTCAAAGGTGGTGGGGAAGAGCAATTCTACCAGTAGTCCATAAAATAGAGAGCCAGAAATATTTAGTGAACAGCATAAACAACTGTTACAAGCTACTCCTCTAGTTACCAAATGTTGACTTCACTTTCCTTGCCACTGGCCAAGTATATACAACACCCTCCTCCATGTAGACATTCTCACAAAGTCCTATCCAGTTATGACATCATGCTCAAAGTCCAGGATATCTGGGTGAAGCAAAGCAGTCTCTACAGGAAAGGGTATATGTATCACTATCAGGTGTGGCCTTTTTTTAGAGACCTATGCACCAAGAGGGCAAATTATCTGTCCTCATATACCAAATATACGAGTGGTGGGACAGGAACAGGACAACCACAGTGAACACTCCCATTTAGAAAAGGAAAGAAAAAAGGACACATAGAAGTGTCTAGTCTCTAGCAATACTGTCTACAAGATAAAACAGGCAAGGGCACCTTACTTTGGGGATAAGGAATTCAAAACAGCTAAAAATAAAAGGATAGGCAAAGGTTTAGAAATTAAATGAGGCAAAAAAGGGTATATTATGATGCTAAAGGCTACAATTCACAAGAAATATATTGGTTATGAGTATCCATGGGCAAAACAACACAGTAGTAACTTTCATCAAGTGGAAACTCTTGGAAATGCAAAGAGAAATAGACAAAATATACTAATATTAAGAAACTAATATATTTCCCTTAGTCTGACATGGTAAAAGTCAAAAATAAAAAAGTAAGAATATAGAAGACCTAAACAATCAAATAGATCTTAGGAATAAATATCAAAACTTTTGCCTTGATAATACTCAGATAACAGAGAATGTACTTTTTTCAAGTATACATGAAACTTTCATGAAATTGACCATCTTAGGCCACAAAGAAAACCTCAATATTTTCCATATTGCATATTTAAATAGCATATCCTTTTGCATGCCTTTTCTTTTAATTTACTGAGGTATAATTTACATACAATAAAATGCACCCATTTTGGATACATTTTAATACACTTGGACAAATATATCCAAGTACCCATCACAACAATGAAATTATAGAAGTTTCAATTTCTCCAACCTCGTCACAACTTATTTATTCTTAATAGTAGCCATCCTAAATAGGTGTGAGGTAGTATTTCATCGTGGTTTTGATTTGCATTTCTCTAATGATTAGTGATGTTGAACATCTTTTCATATGCTTGTCGGCCATTTGCATATGTTCAGAGAATTGTCTATGTTTTTTGCCCATTTTTATATCTACTCCATTCTTTTTAAGTGCTCATGATATTTCATAGTATAGACATAACATGGTTAAGACCCTTTTGATGAACATTAGCATTCTTTTCAATTTTTCTCTATTATAAACAGTGGTTATCATCCCTCTATATGCTTCCTGTACATGCGAATGTTTTACACATTTATACCACACTTATACATTTATAGCACAATGATAGTGTATTTTAAAGGAAATCAACCATATATTTATAAATAACCAAAAAAAAAAAAAAAATAGAATGGGGCTCACAGGGTATCTGCAATTTTTATTTTAATGGCTCTTGCCCAACTGCTGTCTAAAATGGTTAAACTTTTGTCAGCACCACATGACTACCTAATTCCTCACACTCTTGGAAAATCTTCCGGTCAGTCACCTGTCAATATTTGGAGGAGATGCTTTGCACAGAAATCTATAATTTTAACATAGTCATACTAATCAATCTTTTCTTTTATGGCTTTAACATTCTTCATCTTATTTAAGAATTCTACCCAAAGATTATACATATTTTTCGTGTTTTATTTTTCCTAATACTTCCATAGCTTAAAAAAAGTTTAGAACTTTAGTCCACTTGAAATATATTCTCATGAAGGATATGAAGTAGGAATCTGAAAGTTTTTATCAAAAGGATAGCCAACTTGCCATTATAATAAAATAATTACTAACACTTATTGAATACCACTTACTTGTTTCAGGTACTGCTCAATTTAATCTCATTTTATCAAAGTTGTTTTTAGGATTAAACAAAACATTTTAAAGAGGAAACAAGGAGGGTACCAAATGGTTATGTAGTTCTGTCCAATTCATACATACACTAAATGGTAAAATCAAGATTCTAATCCTAGTAGCCTCCACACTATTTGGTTTTTCTAAAACAACTTCCTTTTCCCACAGATTTGAAATACCACCTTTAAAATACACCAAACTGCCATAAATATATAGATCTCTTTATGGACTTTCTACTGTTTCAATGATCTATTTGTCTATTCCTACACTAATTTGTGATCATTTAAAATATCTAAACTGATCATGTTATCACCCTAATTAAATTTTAATAACTCCCTATTGACCTCAGGATCAAGACCGATCCATTTAGCATGTCATATAAGGTTCCCTCCCTCCCACCTCTTACCTTTGGAGTCTCAGACATGAGTATAGACCTCTTTCCCATGTTCTAGTTATAAAAATCTTCTGGCAGTTGTCTGAACAGACCAGATACATTCATTTCATGTAATATCTATGTCCATGCTTTGTTCAGATGCTTCCTGTGCCTCATTTCCTTTATCTCATTTACTGGGCAAGCACCTATTTATTTTTAAAGATTAACTCAAAGATGATGTATTATAAAACTGTACACTTGAAACCTATATAATTTTATTAACCAGTGTCACCCCAATAAATTTTAAAAAAAGATGAACTTAAACATTGCTACCTTTAGCTTTTCCTCCCTTCCCACCCCAACTGAATAGAAAAAAATCATCTTTTTTATGTGTCTACTCCTCATACTTTTATCTTAGCATTATTATTTTACTATATTTATTCACCTACATGCTCCTCTTTCCCACTATGAGTGTCTTGAGGACCCTATCTTATTAAGTACCTAGTATAACCTTAATAAATATTTGAGTAAATCAATATAAAACAACCATTAAATTTGTGAGCAGTCATCTGATCTATAAAAAAATGCAACAAATTTTTAAATGATACAAAAATATCATTTTCAAATATCAAAAACTGAGTGTATTTAACCATACTCAGCTTATAACAGAGCAAATGTCTGAGTAGAATAATTCATGCTGTAGCATGTTTAATAAACTGGCAACAGAGAAAGTTGGTTGAAGGAAAGCAGATGAATTTTATCTTTTAAGAATTAGAACCTAGGGGCTCCATAATCATCGGGCATCCGCTCAATGTTGTACCTGGCCAGGACAAAAAAGAAATAACAATGGTAAGAAATGTGGGTCTAGAATCCATCTAAAAACCCATCCTTTACTGATTGCAATACTTTCACCCATTATTGTGAATCCTTTTTGTCAGTGGGAACATTTTAAATGGATATAATGAATAATTTATAGACAAATGCGGACTATATTACCTTTATTCTTCAAAGTCAGAAAGTTAACAAATGGGGAGCCAAGCACTGAGTCTGGGTAAGCCCAAACTCCTTAGCCCTTATTATTCCCTCTGTGTTCTCCCCAGGCTGAAAAGCTGGACAATAATAGTCTGAGGACTGACATAGGAACATCCAAGGAGAATAAAAAGCAGCTTTTTTAAATAAGCTTTTAGTTTCCCAGAGGGGTGTTGATCACATGCACTAAGTTTTTAGAGAAAAAAAAAACTCTGGCCAAAAAGATTAGCTTGATTTAAATTACTGCTTTGTATTTAAAGCAACTGCATCCCCCTATTTCCTCTGGTAATCTTATTGTAACAATGTACACGTCTGCCTCATTCCTAAATCCTAGCTTTATCTCTTGCCCTTGCTCTTGTTACTTTGTCTTCTTTCTTCGTATGTAACTAAGTAAATATTTGATACAATAATCTCTTTCAAATTCTTCTATAACCTGACCTTATTTTTAATTGGTATCAACTACATACTTTTAATTACTTCCCCAAAAGGAAGTTCTCACCTATGGTTAGAAATATACATGATGGGAACTCCAGGGATCTTTCTGATTCTTCGTTTAAGGTCTCGGTCAACCGTGGCCACAATGTAACACTTGTGCTGTAAGAGACATAGACTGAGTATTCACATAGAGCTTACTGAGTCTACTTAGTGATACTATGATGGCATAAACACTGGCCAGTCTGAAGAATTATTCGTATTCACAGTAAATAGCAAAAGAAAGGCTAGAACAATTGTTGAGTAGCCACTATGATGTAGGAGCTCATATTTATAAAAACATGTAATAAGTTGCCTGGGCTGAATGTAGCTCTTAGAATCTTGAGGGGAGGAAAATCGAAAAACTAAAAGCTGCAAACTTTTTTTTGCATCATAAGTGGAAGGGACTTTCATATTTGAGGCAGACAATTCCTTGGTTTTGGAAAAATGCCCTGAGGGACTCAAGGCAAAGACAGAGTAAGCACCTTAGACTGTAAGGGCATGGCTTTTGCCTTTCCTGGGATCCCAGGGCCAATTCTGAGGCCTCCTAGTGGTGGAGGTAGGCTACCTCATGGGCCATAAAGCCAGAGTAGGATCTCCAGGACAAGTTTGTGCATAGCAGCTCTGAAAGCAACAACATTTAGCTGCCAGCCAGGAGATAATTTGTATTGTACTTTACTTCCCTCATACCCAAATCTCTAGTTGAGTTTTAAAGAGTTGCAGCCTGGTGTCAGCTGTGTTGTGCAAAATTAAGAGAAATACTATGCCCATGGGATGGATTTGCTAAAGGGCCGGCAGCGTGGTCACTAGATGAAGATGATTATCCTCAGCAGAGAGACACTGTTATAAGGGCAATCAGTAGCAGAAGTTGAGGTGCTAGACAAGGAAGCTAGCCAGAAAAGAAGAATCAAAAACCCACTATTTCGGGATACTTGTGAGATATTACCCTGAGAGATTATGTTGTAACTGAGAAATACTTCTGGGTTAGGCACGGTGGAGAGGAACCAAATTCCTGCATAGGGAGTAAATGGAAATGGACCCTTATCTTAGATTCATAGGGAGGTGAAATCTGACATACAGTTGACCCTCGAACAACAAAGGATTTAATTGTGTGGACACACTTATATGCAGATTTTTTTCTGTACTGTTTTTGATCCACGGTTGGGAGTCCATGAATGCAAAGGGCAGACTGCATGCACAGATCCAAGCCATTTTATATGGGGGACGTGAGCATTTGCAGATTTTGGTATCTGCAGGGGGTCCTGGAACCAACCCCCATGTATACCGTGGGACAACTTAAGTTTCTAGGAATCAAAAGTTATCCGATGCACAGATTTTCAACTGCACAGGGGGTCAGCACCCCTAAGCCCACATTGTTCAAGGGTCAACTGTATTATTATATCTATACTTACTCACTTAAATAACTTTATAAAGAATCAATAAGGGCCCCAAATCACACACCTAATAAACACAGGTGTTGAGATTTGAAACCAAGCCTCTTCCTCAAGCCCGTGATCTTTCCATTATGGTTATAGTATACATTTCCAATCTACTTTCTCAAGTAAATGAGGACACGTAGGCTTCCTATGAAGGAATTCCATACAATTTTTTTTTTTTTACCATTAATATTCTTGCTTTACTGACCATGAACATTCAGGAGACAGTAGTTTACCTTTTCTTTTTTAAAGCACAAAGTAAAAACTGATGATACCTGAGTTACTCTCTGTACTAAGCAGTCATCTGCATAGGTTCCTTTGTGTGTGCATGGTAATCGTTCGAATCTTGGATCCTTGGCAATCCTACAGGGTTATAAAAATGAATTAATGAAAACATTCGGCAACTGGAAAACTTTCTGAGTCTCAATCAGTGAAATAAGAGTAACTTGATCTATGTGTAGATTTTAAGGCACCTCTCTCATGAAGCTTACCTTCTAAATGGAAAGACAACACAGAAAAGGGAATTAAAGCTTTGTGACTGACAGCTGGTGTGCCTTAAGTTGTATAAGCTTGACAAAACTGTATTATTAGATTTCCATTTTACAGATGAGGAGGCAGACTCAGATTAATTTTTTAAAGTTACCCAGCTGGGAAAAGCCAGAATTCAAAACCAAATCAATTTTAACTCAATCATTTCACTTTCAGGAAGTGTCTTATACAAATGTACAAGAATATAGGTCCAAAGATGGTCACTATAGCAGTTTACAGCAGTGAAAAACTGGAGACGACCTCGATATCAACAAGGTAAAAGTTAAAGACATTTCGGTCCCCCATCTCATTAAAAAAAGTGAGATAGAGCTGTATATATCAATGTGGAAGGACCTACAATTAACTGCTGAATATACAAAGCAGGCCACTTAACTGTTTATACATAAATACACCCATATGTATATAAACGCATATGTACATATATACTTCAATTAAGAAAATACATATATCTCTGATTCTTTCTCTAGATTTGCATTTTGTCTGGAAAAATACATATTAACTACAAACTAATCCTCAGTTGTCACTCTTAGGGTATGAGAACGGACAAAGTGTGAATATGGAGGGGGAATTTTACTTTTTATTGTATGTTTATGTTTATACTGTTTGCCATTAACAAATGAACACATATTACTTCCACACAAATTTGAAAAAGAAAAACTCAAATCTGTGATTCCCCAGAGCAAGGCTCTTTCTATTACACATGATGATGAGTCACAAAATGAATAAAAATACAATGCAGCACACAGTTACCAAGTGCAACAAAAATACTCCACATTGCAGTAGTTTAGAGCTAGGTCAGTGTGGGTTGGGTATAATTTAAAAAAAATTACTTGGAGATGAACTAAAATGAAGATGAAAGAATGTTAGAAGCAAAGGGAAGGCAGGCACATTCCAAACAGGGCACCAACCATCTGTGAAGTGGTTTGGTTGTGTTCAGGGAAGAGCGAGGAGAAGAGTGTTCATGTAGAGGAGAGTGAATGAAACAGATTTGTAAAGGCAGGTTGAGGATAGAGTGGGAAGAGTCTCTGTGAGCTCCATGACACAGGTGATGGGGAATCATTAAAGTTTTCTCTGGGACAGAGTGACAGAGGCAAAGCTTTGTTTTAGAAAGACTAGGCAGGCTGTGAGTGAGGAGAATACATCAGAAGACAGACTGGCTGCTGAGAAACTAGGCAGGCAATACAGAAGTCTGGGTCTTTGCTCTTTTGGTTATCTCTTTCGTTTCTGAAATCATTGATCTCTTCCTTCCTACTGTTCTTTCCCAAAAACACACCAACATGCGCTAGTACCTTACTCATCTTTAAAAAAAATTTCTTTTTACTTATACCACCCCTTCAAATTAACATCCCATTTCTCTGCTTCTCTTCACAGCCAAACTTGGTGCTTCCACTTCGTGCCTCTATTTTCTCCCCTCCCATTCTTTATTTTTATTATCATTTAAAAAATAATGGCCTCTTTCCCCTTCTAATTTGAAGTATTTCAAGTATGTAAAAAAGTATACAGAATGATGAATACCTTGTATACACCATCTAGTTAAAAAAATGAAACACTACAAATAAAAATGAAGTCCCCTTTCCAATCTTAATCTCTTTTTACCTTCTTAAAAGTAAACTATTATCTTAAATTTGGTATTTATCAGTTCCACGCATGTTTTTAAGCTTTAAATAAACGTTGTGCTCCACATTTGTGCTTTTTTTTGGTTTACACTGTATTTGAGATTTATCCATATTGACACATATAACTCTACTTCACTCATTTCCACTCCTGTATAGTATTTTATTCATGAACATTCCACAATTTATTCATTATCTTAATGAATCTTTTAGCTGCCTACAATTTTTTTGCTACTATATACGTAAGAAAATTCCAGTATTTGTCTCCAAAATATGTACGTGAGCTTCTCTATGGCAGGCCAATTTTTCTTCTTTACCGGAACCCACAATATAAAATACATTTTACCTAGCACACAGTAAGCATATATATATACACACACACATAAAAGTGAATAAAGTTCTGTGACACAACACTCAATCTTTGCATGTAGCATGCAATGCATGTTGGTATTTTTATAGTTTATATTTCATTTTTAAAAAAATACTGGTTGTGACCCATTAAACTGATTTCACAACCTATAGATTTGTGATCTCCAAATTTAAAGATGCAGTGTTGTAAGAGGATGGACAACCTTGTTTTTATCAGATATTGCCAAATTGCTCTCCAAAGTGATTGTCCAATTTACATCATTAGCAGCTGAGTATGAGAATTTCCATTGCTCCACAGTTGCAACTATTCTTGGCATTGTCAAGCATGCTTTAATTTTTGCCAATCTGCTGAGTATAAAATTATATCACTGTAAATTAAGGATTTTTGTCTTTTTCTTATAAATTTGTAGTTTCTTTATATTTAAAAAAAATAAGCCCATGTTGTTTATATGTTATACTAACACCTTCTCACTATCTGTGGCTTGTCTTTTCACTTTGTTTAAGGTGTTTTTTGTTATACAGAAGTATTCAATTTCAATACAGTCAAATGGATTAGTTTTCCCTTATGGTTTGGACTTAAGAAATCCTTGCCCACTCCAAAATCACTAAAATATTCTCTACATTTTCTATAAAACTTTAGATACTTAATCTACCTGGAATTGATTTTTATGAAAGAAGTGAGATAAGGATCCAATTTTCTTTCTTTCCACAAGGATAATCCATATTTTAAGTTATCACTCATAATTTTTTCCTACTGATCTAAACAATGTTACCTCTCATATATTAGAATCCCATTTTTCTCTTGCCTTTAAAAAATTAGCTTTATTAGGGATAAATGAAATATAATAAAATTCAGTGGTTATGAATTTAGACAGATTTACATATCCATGTTACTATCCTCAGCTCCAGGCAACCATTGATCTGTATTCTATTATTATAGCTTTCCCTTTTTTAGAATTTCATGTAAATGGAATCACATTTCTAGAGTGATGGAATATTCTATTTCACATCTATGATAGTGGTTCCATGACTTCATACATTTGCCAAACCCATCAAATGACACAATTAAACTTGGTGAATTTTACAGTATACAAATTATACCTCTAAAAAGGTCTCTCTCTCTCTCTCTCACACACACACAAATCCACAGGTATATTATGCATTTTGAATCTACCTTTGCATGATTTTGTAATACGTATTGATCATTTGGAAAATACTGATTCACTGCGTTACCCAGATCTTCCAAATATGGACACATTTCATTATACAATGTAAAAAAAAAAATCATACTCATTAATAACTTCACTGGTCTCAAAAGAAAGGTCTTTAGAATGGGGATTGTAATAAGCACATAGCTTTTCAAAACTCTAATTTTCACTTGAAAGCTTGAATTTTATCATTGGTAACTAATATATAGTAAGTTGTTTTCCTTGAAGTGACAGGTTCACTGCATTTTTGAGAAAGTATCTGCTAGATACCAAAGTCTGAAAAATCAGTGCTTGTTAGTTGTTCTGGACATAAAAATGATATTCCATGAAAAAATGGCTGGTTCAGCTCACAACTCAAATAAGCACAGAAATGTTTTTTATTGAGATAACCTTCATCCTTTGGTATGCAACGGAAGTGTGCACTTCACATTATCAGAAGAAACACTGATGTGTGTTCCAGAGTTGAGATTTAACAAAGTTAAAAATTTTACTGTTTCATCAGGATATTCTTAAGTGATTCTGGTTTTTTTTTTTTTTAATTGCCAGTGGTGGCAGTGAAAAATACAAAGGCTACTAGCATTATCTAGGCCCATTGCCTTGATTTGTCCTAAGGCACCAGCATAGTGACAAAGGCAATGTTTTGGTATATTATGAAAATAGTTTTGGAAACTCCCTGCAAAGATCTCTGGGACTGCTAGGGGTATGGACCATATTTTGGGAACTGCTACTCTAAACTTAAGGGTACTTTCTAGAGTAAACTGAAAATTTAGAATATGAATTCTTTTAATTGTGAGGTTTTGAAGGAGATATCTAAATAAACAAATAGACACTAATTGAAAATCTAGAGGAACTTAAAAGGAAGCCTACAAGACAAGTAACGACTAATTTAGTTCAAAAATTTCAGCTTACATTATTCACAATAGACAAGACATGGAAACCACTTAAGTGTCCTTCAACAAATGACTGGATAAAGATACATATATACATATACATACGCACACACACAAACACACATACATACATACATATAATGGACTACTACTTGGCCATAAAAAAGATGAAATATTGCCATTTGCAACAACATGGATGGATCTTGAGAATATCATACTAAGTGAAATAAGTCAGACCGAAAAGGTCAATAACCATAAGATTTCACTCATATATGAGATATCAAACAAAACTGATGGATACAGACAACAGTATGGTGGTTACCAGAGAGGTAATGAAGAAGGTAAAGTGGGTCAAATATATGGTGACAGAAGGAGGCTAGACTTTGGGTGCTGAGCACACAATGGACTAGACAGATGTTGTATTATAAAGTTGTACTCGTGGAACTTGGGTAGTGGTTAATACTGTTATTAACCAATGTTACCCCAATAAATTCAACTTAAAAAAATTTTCAGTTTAAAAACCTCTAACCTTCAAATGTCTGCTTTCTTAATCACAGTTAACCATTTTTTAAAAATTTTTATTTAATCTAATCAGCCAAGAAATCTTTCGACAGCAAACAGATGAAAGAGAGTCAAAAGAACCTTCAGTATACCAATCTAGAATAACTCTAAATAGACAAGCGCCTTCCTACCTTAGAGCCACTCGATACTTCTGCCCCAATTTCTCAATTTCAGCCATTACACAGTCAGTTATACAAGGGATACCTTCCAGGAATAAAAAAACAAAACAAACAAAAAAACATGTTTAGTAAAAGAATTTGTAAAGAAACTGATTTTACTCTCTCTGAATTATATCCTGTTGAGAATCTTTAAAAGACCCACAAAATTTCTGGAATGAAGCAGAATAAGCACACTGAAATGAACAATGAGAACTAGAGAAGAATAAAATCCCTATTTATAAAAAAACTAGGAAACTGTCCCAACCCTACACCACAGATTCCATAAAGTATCTGTCATAAATATACCTCAGGGAAAAAAATTAAGCTGGATCCCTGACATTCTTTATATAGTAAAATAAATTCTAGATGGAAAAAAATTTAAATGTGAACCAAAAGAAACCATGAAATTAACCAGAAAATGTAAATTTGATCACATAAAAATACGAAACTTCTGTCTGACAACTATCAAAAAAAGATATTTAAGTAAACTAAAAATGAAACTGGGAAAAATATTTCTACACATTTCTCAAAGGGCTAATTTTCTTAATATACAAAGAGCTTACAATAACAGCTTAGAATTACATGCTATTTGCCAGAGACTGTGCTAAGCACTTTACAAGGATTACCTCATTTAATGTTCAGAACAATTCCTATCAGGTAACGTTATTATTATCCCAATTTTTATAGATGAGGAAGCTGAGGCACAAAGAAGTAACTAGATAGCAAATGGTGAAGGCAAGATTTGAACCGAGATTATCAGGCTACTATAGAGGAAAGAGGAATTATTGCATGAAGTTAGTAGGTGTATAAATTCATATAACTATTAAAGGACAATTTTGCAGTACCTATTAAAATAAAAAAATATGCATACCCCTTGATATTGCAATATAGCCTTAGAAAAATATAGCTTAAAGAAATACTGCACCCTAATACACACGTATTCACAAAGATACTCACTACAGCCTTGTTTATAACAGGGTAAAAACTAGAACTAATCCAAATGTCTAGTAAAAATTATATATTTAAACAATAATGTAACTTAAAAAGAAATGAGGTATATCCATATATATTGGCAGAAAAATGTTCAAGATATATTCGTTCAAAGTAAAAAGCAAGAAGAAATGGATAAATAAGATGTGATCTATCCATACAATGGAATACTATTTGGTAATGAAAAAATTATGTACTGATACATGCTTTAACATGGACAACCCCTGAAAATGTTATGCTAAGTAAAAGAGGACCAAATATTATATGATCCCATTTTAATGAAATGTCCAGAATAGGCAAATTTATAGAGACAGAAAGCAAATTCATGGTTGCCTAGGGATGGAGGGAATGAGAAGGGTTGGGGGATGATGGCTAAGGGGTTCAGAGTTTTTTTTAGTAGTGAAAATGTTTTAAAATTGATTGTGAATACAGTAAAGGCCACTGAATTGTACATTTTACATAGGTGTAGTATATGGTATGTGAAGTATATCTCAAAGCTGTTTAAAAAAAGGCACAGTTAAATAATGTATGGTCCATTTTCATTAATAAAAGAAACAAAAATAATCTTTACAGAGATTGTATATTAATTTTTAAGAACTGCCCCTCTCTGAGGAAAGGCATTATAGGAAACTTTCATTTTTTTATGCTATCGATTTTTTAAAAGTACATTAATACTTTTGAAAGCAGACAAAGTTGAGAAATGTTAAAATAAAATACAACACCCAGGAGAAAAAGCAGTTGTAAAATGGAGGTATGAAGTCAGTAGGATCAGGTTATCATGAATTAGAGGGCAATGTGAGCCTTAACAGCATCAAATTCAGAGCCATGTAGCAGTGGAGTAAGCAAGGGCTTGCATCTAGAGCAGGGAGGTAGGCCCAGAGAGATCACTATAAAGAAACAGAAAGTAACAGGGAATCGGACTCATGGACAGAAAAGAAAACTGATGGGAAGCTAGCTATTCTTTCTTGTTGGAATAGCAGATGGAAATGGAATAGACCGAAAGCTATGAAAAGGTCAAAGGGCACCTTTAAGGCAAAAGGAAGATAAAGGCCTTCCTTTAGGTATACAAAGGCAAGTGAAGAATTAAATAAGCATAGATTAAAACAGTTAAGTTAATCTCCTAGGTAACTGAATTTGCACTTAAATATTTCTTTAGCCTTTCCTTTTAGGTACTATGTTACACAGCAGACTGCAAAAGTGGTATTTTCCTTAATAAGTTTGTTTTTAGAAAAGTCACAATGAGAGCATTTAGCTGTATGCATTATAGCTGTACTCTAATGTATCTATATGTAGAGAAAGCCTAACTACAGGGCTAAAGCTATCCTAAACAATCATCATCTAGATATAATGGTGGAGTCACTTCCAAGCGGCCATGCCTGAACCTTCCATCCATTCCATTTATAAATAGGTGACGGTATCCCTGGAGAAGATGCTAAGACAACTATAAGAAACATCATGGGAATACAAGAAACCTACCAAAAAGTTTAGTGTCTTCCCTCATACATGGTCACCCTAGTCCAGTCTTACAAGCATGGTAGTGCCCCAACTTCAGACTACGCTTTATTATTTCTAAGAGATTTTTCAACGAAAATTAAAGTATTACAAATGCATAGCTTTAAAAAGAAATATAGAAAGGCCTATATGAAAAAATAACTGTCCCCTGATCCTTTCCCTCTCCACCAATTCTGATCCTTAGAGATGACTATTTTCCTCCGTTACCTATTTTCCTCACTTGGTGGTTATTTCCACCTTGATAAAATAAACTTATGCATTTACTTTTTATATTTATTCATTTTAGGCATTTAAAGAATTTAGATCTCTTTCCCATTACACATCCCTTACCCCATCTTCCATTCTTGTTAGTTTTAAGAAATAATAAAGAACATATAGATTACTATCACTCTGTAATATTGATCATTATATAGTATCTTTTAAATATTAAAGAAAGTGGTGCAATTTTTTCTCTTTGTTTCCAATAATTTATTCTTTATAGCATAGTATAAGTCTAATTTTCATTTGCACCTTTAACTAGATGACTGGAAAATATGAATACAAACCCACCACAAAATGCAATAGATCTCACTATTAAGAAGCTATTCCCTTATACATGGCCTAAATTTTCTTTTTCCTACTCCTAATACTGAAGAAAGATCATTTGAAGAGGATACCCAAATACAGGAGGGAAATTTATAGAGTAAAAGTAAATTGCATATCTCAGTGTAACAAACTACTCCAGATCCTTTGCAATACAAATAAATACCAAACTGAACTAGAAATCATTGATCATATCTGGTTTTGTGATCGTAAGTGGCAAAATGTCTTATTTAGCTTTTCTGCACTGAAGTGGAATGGAGAATGTTTCCTCCTTAATGTAAAAGAGTATATACACTGAGAAATATATTAAATTTTCATTTATCCGGAACTTTAAAATCCAGAATTTAGAAATAGAAAATTCCCCTCCTACGTTCAAAATTGATGTCCATAATGATAATCAAAGTATATCATGTTTTCTCAACTGCGAAAGTCTAATTATTCCCAGTCAAGTTTGCGTTATATTTCACTTCATTGTTATGGTGAGCAAATTAAATGGCCAGCAATTCAGTACTAGAACTCTATTCCCTTCTTTCCATGTATTTGGATAACTGTACAAATGTCACAGAAATGTAAAACTATGATACTCACACTTGGCATACAGACAGTCCATCATTGACTGTACTAAGTCCAGTTTGGCTTTAATGGAAAAGTTGATAAAGTTGGTATCAACCAGGATGTGGTAAGGGGGCCCCAGCTGTGTGTTATATTGGAAGAATAGGCAAGAAGGGTGTTGGGGGCTGAAAGAAAAAGAAACAAAACACAAAGTAATGTCTACATTGATAGTCTGGTATCAACAAAAATAAGAAGTCTCTGCTCAGAAAAGTTTACTATAGATTAAGTTCCTTTTTCCTTGTTCTTGGAAATAAATCCTAATAAATCCTGATATACCCATCACCATTCTAGGGCAAAATGAAAAATATAAGAAAAGTGTGATGAGGTTTTATAACGTTAAATGTGTTTATTTAAAAGGAATGACCTTTATTCTGAAAATGTCATTATTCTTTTGGTAATATATTCTGTCTTTCATGAATGCCAGTGTGTTAAACAATGGCAATTATTTCTTTTGAAAGATTCTTGACAAAGAAAAAAAGCTAATGATCCTAGATTTAATTCCCAGGAATTTAGGGACAATTTTACTGCTCCATGAAATCCAAAAACCTTTCAACTATCGGAGTTGGTATATGCTCATCAATATCATTTTCCTTTGCATAGCTGGACTTACAAATGACTGAGCAAATCTGCTTGGGGAAAGCCTGGATTTCTGAGAGGTTTATGGTTTTAGAATGTCTTAAAGGAAAACTTGAAAATTTTGATTACTCACACTTCTCTTTCCTTGAGTGCACTGGGATCTTTCTTTTCTTTCTTTTTAGGTTTTAATCTATCCTTTTCTTTACTAGGAAAAAAAAAGTAAATTAAATGCAGGGGAGAAGGAAAAAAACAGTAATTATAATCTCATTAGAAATTTAAAGTTTCACTTTTTTTGTCTTCAGAGAAAATCCTTTGTGACTTTTTTACATTACTATAAGCATACATATTTTTATGTTTATATATATATACATCTATCTATTGATAGATCTATCTATGTTGAGCACAAGTAACTGTGTGGGAAGTAGTCTGTAATTAACAATCAATTCATAAGACATAATTTAAAAATCTAGCAAATAATCCATAAAAACTGTTACTAGGCAAATAAATGTTGGTTGTACTATCACTTCTTAGTCAGAAGCTCTTATGTCAAGGATCAAAATCCACCTCCAAGCAGTGGGTAAAACGGCCGACATTTATCTTCTGAAGACTTAGATGCTTCCCCAGTGAGATTCCCTCATATGCCTCTTACAAAAGGCCAAAATGTAACAACACATATGTAACATTTAACCCTTAACTAGAAATATTATTAATGGGGCAAATTTCCTTAAAATTACATAATAAATACATGTTAAAGGCGGAGAATACAATTTATAATTCTGAAGGCTCTAATGACCATTCCTTTGTGCTGAGGCTCTGAAACACAATGAAGACCCGTCTTTATTTAATAACTTTGTTCATTATTCACTGAAGCAGGGAAGCTTTTTGGGTCCTCCTTATAACAGGGAATATCATTGTACTCTTCTTCCACAGCCATCTTAATTCTTCTAAGACTTATGAAATGGAAACACCTAGGTGTTTTCCCATTCTTTCAAAAATATTTCATTGTCAGGTGCTGGAGACACAAGACCAACATGATTTCCGACCTCACCTACTTTCAACAATTACATTTTTTCCTGTAGAATTTAGTAATGATCAGAACATAAAAAATAACCCTATCTACCTCATGGAACTGTTAGGAGGCTTAAATGTGATGTGGTAAAGTATATAAAAACGGTGGAACGAAGTGAACAGTTAAGAGATGTTTAATTCCCATCCCATTCACCAGTGTACTCACGCAGCAGCTATGAGACTGTTATACACTTTACTAGCTCAAGCTATATAAGTCCAAGACACAATAATATTAAAAATAAACACAATATAAAAACAAAAACTTTTACTACTTATCCCCTCGTGACTCCTATATCTCTGGGCAGTCTATGAACCTAGTTGATTCGAGACACTCACAGCCTCTGATCTCTGAGACTAAGCATTCGCTTCATGGTCGCATACTTCCTTGTTTTCTTTTGCTTTCCCTTGAAACAGAAATTTTAGAGTTAAAACAGTTGGAAATACATCCCATCTTCTTGAGTCCTTTCTTTTCTTTTGTCCCTTCCCTTCTTCCCTCAAATATCCAGGTGCTCTTATCCTCTCTTCCCCAACCCCGTCCTCTCCCTACGCTCTGAGCAGTTTAAAAGCTAAGATTAGAATGAATAAGCACAGGGAATGCGGAGGAAATTTGGCCAGGGTCTGACTCTCTCAATCTCCACCCAAAATGTGATCTGACAATGCCCCTTCTCGAACCCTTTCCTCTCACCATGTTCACGCCGCACTCTGGTTTCTTCCGGAATCACCAACGGCGCAACACTTTTACGTCACTCGTATGCTGCTTCCGTCAAAGGATAGCCCGGAAGCGGAAGCCACTTTGAGAAACGGAAAAGCTTGGAGCCGGTTCCCAGGCCGAGCGGAGGTCTGTACTTGGATCTCTTGGAGGGAGGGTCGAGGGCTGGTCTTCTGTCGTGGGTTGCTGTCGCCATTCAGGGCAGCAGACCTGGGACGTCCCCGCGCTGCACCCTCCAGGCCTGGTAACGTTTCTCTCCTCCACCACTTTGGCACAGAAGGACCTGCCTGCACGAGAGTTCGAGAGAGAGGGAGGACAAGGGTTGGGGGACGGGGGAGACTGAATTCTGGGTTGCCCAGTAGTTTGGGGAAACACATTCTCCTCGTCCTGCAGTGCTGGACGTCAGGTCTCTACCGTGCAGCTCGGAGGCTCTGGTTCCTTTTTGGCTCTCCTAGCCGGCATGGTGCTTCGTGCAGCTAGATGGACGAGGCTTAAGATTCTCCGAGTAAATACCGTCTGTTCCTTTCTGTGAAGAGAGCGATGAAGCAGCGTTTGAGGGCCTTCTTTATAGACTGTCTGGAAAACTGGGGCATAAACTTGCATATGTTGGTAGTTACCAAGCCAGGAAAATGGTAGGACATAATTGACGTTCATTGTGAAGCCGTGGTGTGTCATCCTTAATGAAAGGGAGAGTTTTTGAGAACAAGAAGGGAAAGATACAGTTTTAATTTTTTGAGTACCTGGTATGTACTCCAGTGGTTGTAGCCTTTTGGAAATCAAGTACCCCTTGAAAGTTTTTTATTTATTTTTTTAACCCTTTTAAAGTTTATGGAAAGCCAGAGACGAGTCTTTAAAAAATGAGTACGCATTACAGCATTTGTCATACGATTTATGAGACTCGTGGATTCTGACGCCCATTTGTGGGTTCTCTAGGTGTTGGTGAACTTAAAGTTAAGAATCCCTGTCTTGTATACTGTACTTGGCACTTTAGTTGTGTTACCTTCTTTGACCTTCACAATAACTCAAGTACCCTCATTTTACATATGGAAGCTGAGGCTTATACTTTATTCAGGGCTTTGTTTGGGTCTGTTTGATTTCAAAGCCTGTACTTTTATTGCACAAAACTTTCCTAGTGTTTGCGATCCAAAAACATTTTTTTTATGTTAAAAGGAAAAAACTGCCTACTGTGTAACCCTTACTATGAAATTGAACTTAAGAGTCTGACAAATGGGCCTAAAATCTATGCTCTGCCTCTTACTAACTATATAGTATTGGGAGAGTTAATCTATCTGTGCTTCTGTTTCCTCATTGGAGATAATAATAATAGTACATGTTTTATAGAGATGTTATTAGGTCTAAACTAGTTAAAATGTGAAGTCTCTAGAAATGTGCCCGCCACAGGTAAACCCTATGAAAGTGTTTTCTATTATTATTGTGTGTCTTCCAACAAGTTAGTGGTGGTGTTGGAATTTTACGCCAGTTGTATTATAATCGCTCTGTGTTGGAACTTTCATGTGTTGATAACCTCAAGAACCTTATTAAGTTTTCAGTTTTTGAAAAACTCAATTGCAGGGTGATTTCATGTGTTGATTTGAGCATAGACACAGTTTTCTTCCTGCTTCTTTCTCTTTTAGGCATGCATGTATTTAGGTAGCTTTGATGTTCACATATCTGACTTTGTAGGCTCTAAATTTTTTATGTTCAAATAGCTTTTTTATTGAAGCATCTACAGATAGTGTATGTGCTTCTTGCTGTCACTAGAAGTTCCTAATCTTTTCAGAAAGCTTGTCTGCCAAGCTGTAATTCATGGGTAGAGCTGTTTTTTTTTACTGAAGCTTCTATAGATACTGTATGTGCCTCCTGCTGTCGCTAGAAGTTCCTAATCTTTTCAGAAAGCGTGTCTGCCAAGCTGTCATTCATGGGTAGAGCTGATAGTGACCACTTTTTGACGCATTAGAACTTCTTGGTGATTAGGCAATAAGCTTTTAAGTAAACATGATCAGTTTGTTTATTTTTAACATTTGGAGACTGATTAGTATTATATATGGTTTAGAGGGAAATTGCGTATAATTAAGTAGTAATTTGCATTTAAATTCAGGCATTGAAAAACTAGAAAAATACTCTCCTAGTAATGTACTCTTAATTTTGAAATCCATAAACAATAACAAATTTTAAAAAAGAAGCAGTTTGTAATATCAATTCTGAGACTTTAGTCATTTACTTGGTTGTTAATACTTGATAGGGAGCTAAATTAGTGCAGGAACACCATGGAGGATGAGACCATACTTAGAAAAATATGTTTTTGTTGCGTTATGACTTTACTGCTCTCTGAGATTCTTATGGTCTAAGATTAAAGTACTCAGATGCTGTATAGCATGTTTTGATGGTGATGGGATTGGGGAGATGGTATTGCTTTGTGCAGTGTGGGAGCAGAAAGTAATTGCTTTTGATTACATACTTGTGAGAAAAAAATGAGTTTAGCCCTTCTCAGCAGTCAAGAGGGTTGTTTTTTTTTCTGCAGTCTTGAAGAGAAAAAATTGCTCAAGGCATTCACCCCACAGTTTGAACACATAATTGGGCTCGGCCTTCATTCCATTCACTAATTGGTCTAACCTACTAATTTAAGTTGATAACAAATTTTTTAATGAAATTATGGATAGTGAAAGATTCCTTAAAGAATATTTTGTATTTAAGTGTTAAAAAGTTAAAGGTAAATTCATTTTTTATGGCCATCAGGGTAAAAAAATTAATTCACAGATATTTTTGTTATCAAGTTACAGTTTTTACACTTATTTTTATGTCTCATGTGACCGGAGTTATTTTCCCAACAAATATTAGTGGCTGTTAGTTATTTTTCAGTGAAGTTGCCTCCTAAATATGGTAGCATGGTATACAGCCTGCTCTGCTCCTAAGGTATTGATATTTAATTCATTTGTAAAGATGCCTCAGAGAAACATCATTGCTGAATATTCACTCCTTCAAAAGGCATTTACTGGGGGCCCATTCTGCCCTAGGCAATGTGCTAGTTACTCTTCAAGAGCTCAGACCTGTATTGGAGAAAGATTTGTGAACAGATAAATTATGGTAAGTGGTTGACAAACATATACAAATTAAAATATTTTAGAGGACTTATTCTACCTGTTCATCTTTCTGAAAGTGGTCCAGGTCAGAGTGCTATTGTGTAATATTTGTTTAATACTAGAACATGCCACAAAACAGGTCAAATTGTATGACCTTAGTGGATTCTAGTATATCATTTACCTTTTGAATGACTTTGGTCATTAAATAGCTTAGGTTTAAGTTTCAGTTTTCTTCCATCGGTTTCTTTCTCTTTGAAGGGTTCATGAATGTTTAGCCTTCACTAATACTCTTTTGTATAGTTTTCAAACTCTTGAAGTTGTTTAACTTTATTGCAGTTTGTGTCTGTGTGCACATGTGTGTGTGTATGCACATGCCTGAGGCTTTGTTATGGTGTTATATCGCCATGATGTTTTCCTGGTGGGACTGTTGAAGTCTGTTCTACAAATTATGGTTTAATAGAGAGAGATGAGTATTCATTTACTTAATAGAAGCCAAATAGTCAAGATAGATATATATTTTGTCAGCCTGAATTGAACAGTACCATATGATTTTAATATGAATTTTTGTTACCTTGAATAGTTGGGAATTTGTACCATGTTTTTCAGAGCTTGTAGCTGAAGCATTCATTTCAGTGTAGTTTGCTTGTTGGTGTTGAGATGCTAATAGTCAACATCTGTTCATTGTATTTTCTATTCATTGTCCTTTTTGGCCAGAGATTGGGTAAAGATAATCTAATATACATTTTCTTACATTTTCTGTAGTGTCCCATTGCTTTTATCCAGAGATCCAGCCGAGGCTGTTTTAACTCCTCTCTTGTTCGCTTAGGAAGTTTAACTCCAAGGATCCTGGTGTATGTAATGAAGTGAAAACAGTTAAAACCTCCCAGCTGTGATCTAGTTTTTCATGTCTTGGTGAAGAAGGAAACCCAGCCAGGCTGCATAAATGGTTTATAGAAAGGAATTGAAAAGGATTTGAAAAAACAGTTCAACCACGCATTACCTGAATTGGGGCAGTGACTAGGAAGGCATGATCAGAATCCTAAAGGGGAGTGAGAACATGAAGTGGGGAATCATTTTTTTTTAACAAATTTTATTTTGGGATAATTTTAGATTTATAGAAAAGTTGCAAAGATAGTATAGAGAGTTCCTGTATACCTTTCACCCAGCTTTGCTGTAATGTTAATGTCTTACATAAAACTGTGGCTCATTTGTCACATCTAGGAAATTAACATTGGTACAGTACTGTTATCTGAAATACAGACTTTTTCTATTTCACAAGTTTTTTTCACTAATATCCTTTTTCTGTTCTAGGATCTAATCCAGGATACCACATTGCATTTAGACCATGTATAATTTTGATAAATAGGTTGGGATTTCCATGAGCTTTTTCTGTGCCATCTATGTGGTCCAGTAATCCCCTCTGACCAGTGCTGAAGAGAGAAAGTCATTGACCATAAGAATAAACAAGACGGCATAGGTAGTGTTTTGTATCCCTTGATTTCAAAACACTGTTAACTCAGTGGAAGAGTTGGCTTTGCTCCCGGAAGGGTGGTGTGAAGTTTCCTGAGAAGCTGAGAGCCGATCCTGAATGAGGGGCCCTTCCTGGGCTCTACCAGCACCGTGTGCTCACCTCATAGATGTTACTACATGAAACTGTCACCAGTTATTTGCTTATCTGTCTTCTTTTCTAAACTGTGTTTCTAAGGGTCAGGGACTCTCTTACTCATTTTGAAATCCTCAGAGTTATTAATATGGTTATTAATACACATTTGAAGAAATTAACCCTTGCTTTGGTAACATTGATTATTAGGTCAACGGAAGTTTTGTTTTGAATACCGTACATGTTGTTTCTCCTTCAAATCAAGCCATCTTATAGTGACTTTTACTATATATAAATTATATCTCATTTATATGCCATTTCTGTGGCTAGTTGAGTATGTCTTCCTGGAATCTTAAAGAGCAACAGAAATGCTCATTTAA